TCTTGCAGGATCCTCCATAACCTTGTTTGCCAAGGCTAACACTAACAAACCTCTCTCTCCCTCAAAATCTCTTCCGGGTCGATCCGAGATTGGCTTTTTTGGGTCTCGAAATTCCAATGTTCGCGTTCAGCATACCACCTCTCTGCTTCGACAGAAAGCGCTTCAATTGGTTGCTTCATCTCAGACAGAGGTATTACTGTAGTCCATACCAATCCAACAGTTTAGTGACCTTTATTGACTTCGTAATGTCTATTGGGTTTTATTTCTGATTAAAAGTTCGTTTACAAAGTCGACGATTTAGTAATTTTCCTTCCCACAGTTGATATTCTAATTCAACTTCGTCTATAAATCATGTCAGGTTTTTACGACCTCAGAAACAGCAGGAATTTGGATCCAACCAACAGGTAATTTTACTATATTCAACCCTGTTAATCATATTAAACAATGAGCTCCGAGTTTGTACCAACTAACTCTTCATCTAGTAATATTTCTCTTCCGATATCAAACGAATTCCTAATTCCGATATCGAGTGATGATTAGTGTCCGCTTCTCAGAGCGATCAGAAACTGTCCGTGTCCAATTCCAATTACACGAGGAGTGCAAGTTTGGTGAGAGCTTCCTCTTGGTGGGTAATGAACCTATCATAGGACAGTGGAACCCTTCAAATGCTATACCAATGAACTGTTCAGATGGAAACATATGGAATACTGAGCTGGTAAGAATTCTTATGGATTTAGAGTCAGTTAGAGATTGCTGCGCTTTTATAAAAAAAATACTACTTTTACTATGTTTTAAGAATAATCAATTGTAAAAGTATTTGATAAACTGTATTTAAAAGTGTCTTTGAGTATAAAAAGCAGTATAAAAGTTTTTGGTAAATTTATGTAAAAGTGACATAATTGTATATAACAAGAAAAATGGACATGGTAGTAGAAGTGGTGGCGATGACAGCTTTGGGGAGGGCAATAATGATGGTGGTGGTTATGGTGGCGACAGTGGTGATGGCAGCGACAGGTTGGGGGCACGGTGGTGGTGCCAATGGTGGGGGTGTAAGAACTCGGGATCTTGTCCAACAGAGTTGAAACTCGGTGTCACTAGAGCAAATTATTGTTACTTATGTATATTTACAGGCGAATCGTATAAATTTGTAGTCATTTCAGAAATTTGATTGGTTTTTAAATTTGAATAGGATGTTCCTACTGGCATAGCAATCCAATACAAGTTTATACTGAAAAAGGCCACAGGAGATGTGTTGTGGCAACCCGGTCCAGATCGGATTCTGCACACCTGGAGTACCAAGAACACAATATCCATTGATGAAGACTGGATAGACTATGAACTTCAGAAGATAAGCGAAGTGCAAATTACAAACGAAAGCGAGGCACTACTTGTAAACCTCGACGTGGGACCGATCGTTCCCGGGAATGTTACCCATCCTGAAGATCAAGAACTTCTGTTGAATGCGAACAAGGGTGCAAATTTTACAGATAAACCTGCCTCGGCGGATGAAAAACCACAATTTAACAGCAACAATGAAGTCGCAATTGAAGAGAAGACTATCAAATCAGCAGATGGAACTTTGCTCGGTATAAGGAAGGAAGTACGCGTTTTAGACTATGGTAGTAGCGCCGTGAAAGAGGAATCTATAAAAAAGTCAACCCCGACAACCTTAACGAGAAAGATTTCTGAAAGTCCGAAAGATGAAGAAGATGAAGCCTTGCCTACTTATGAAATGAGTCCTGTTCTAGTGCCTAGTTTAACTGCAACGCAAGCGGTGTCATCTGAGGAAGTAATACTGCCCGAAGGACTTGGAACACCACTACCTTCTAAAGAATCACCACCCATAGAGCTAGGAAAATCCATATCTCCTGCAGAAGCAACATCCAATGATCTTGGAAAATCGATGAATTCTAACGAACTTGGAATACCAATGTCTTCTGAAGCAGCACTGCCCAAAGAACTTAGAAAATCAATGTCTTCTGAAGAACAACCCAAAGAACTAGGATATTTGATGCCTTCTGAAGATGCACTGCAAAAAGAATTTGTAAAGTCATTGTCTTCTCAAGCAGCACTACCTGATCAACCAATGTCTACTGAAGAAGCACTCCCACATGAACTTAGAAAAATGCCGTCTTCTGAAGAAGCACTCCTAAATGAACTTAGAAAACCGCTGTCTACTGAAGAAGCACTTCCAAGAGAACTTGGATCATCAATGTCTTCTGGAGAAGCCCCGCGAAATTAACTAGGAACACCGATGACCACTTATGGCTCAATTGGAACTGATTCAACAAAGAAGCAGAATTCTTGATGAATCAAGTCACTACTTTCCTTACTTCTTTTTGTTAGCAAGAACCCTTACCATTTTGTTTCTGTCCTAACTGGGACTGAAGAACAAACCGGTATGTAATTGTAAATATAGCTTCAGTACTTGGTTGACTGCCACTTTTTTTAACTATGTATTTGCTCACCTTGAGCAGGCCTTTCTGTTTTGTGATTTTTAACTATATATAAATTAATAGCACAACAACCGGCAAGCACTTTTAATGAATTGAAACATACCAACCCGTATGTTCCACTGATCCTGGCCAATTCTTCATAGTGGTTTTACCTGCAAATTTCAGCCCAAAGTTAAACTACAAACTGTTTCTGTGAAAAGTTTGCACCAACTGAATCCAATCATCAAATGGCATCAACAAATCATGCAAACTAATTCAGGTGCTGGGATACACTCTCGGCAATACACATACAACTATCCTATTCAAATGGACTTCAGCAAGCATGAGAAACTGCATATCAAGAAATGATTTTATGCAGAGTTGCAACATTGCTAGTCAAATGCATATATCAATTAAATCTCATCCAAGAGAAACACCAACAAAAACCTAATAGAAAAAACAAACAAAACAAATCAATGGAAACATAGTTAGGATGTTAGCTTACACAAGAAAAAAGAAACAAGTCTCACATTGCTTAACAGGAGTGATCTTATTGCACACAAGGGATGCCAAAGATGGAAAGAGCACCATATTTGATTTAAATCATTATTTCTCTTTTTGTGATGGGTGTTACCCATTCGTTCATATATTTTTCCATATAGGATTCTGGTCCTTCCTTTGTGGTACTTGTATTCTTCTCTTCCCTTCTTTTCAATGATCTAACTTTTGATCTTGGCCTAGATTATCATCACACCCATCTTCTCAGTCTCCCTTTTCACTCCTAAGACGGCCTGCTCTCGACTTCAGATCAAATTCATCGGCATTGCCTCTGTTCTTCCCTCCTATCATAATCTTCTCTGGACTTTGGACGATTTTCATAACCACTGTGCCTTCTCAATCTCTTTTCATCCATCCTATCATGATTGTCTCTAGATTTTGGATCAAAATCAGCATCACCAGCATGCCTTCTCAGTTCCTTATCTTCCCTACTATCATCTTCCCTCCTACCACGAGATTTGGGCTCAAATTCACCATCATCGCTATGCCTTCTCAGTTTCTTATTTTCCCTTCTATCATCTCCCCTCCTATCATGATCTTCTCTAGAATTTAGCTTTGGCTCAAGTTCCTCATCATCACCACACCTTTGGGCTCTTTTATCATTCTTTCTATCATAATCTTCTCTTGACTTCGGCTGAAACTCATCATCATTGTGCCTTCTCGATCTCTGTTCTTCTCTCCTACCATAACGTTCTCTTGAATTGGGCCCCGATTCATCATCCTCACTCCGTCTTCTTGATCTATTTTCTTCCTCCCTATCATGATCTCTTGATCTAGGCTTAAACTTTTCATCATCACCCCCCTGTATACCCAGTCTCTTTTGCTCCCTCCCATCACTTCGCTTGGTGTGACTTTCGAAGTCCCTACCCCCTGATCTGAACTCTTCCTGAACTTTTGGCCCTGGAACACGATTTGGCGGAATGAAGCTAGATCTTTTATCACCCCTTTTTGGGCCCTCATAACTGTCACGCCCCCATTTTGGGTCTTTTTCACCCCAACCTGTGTTTGCAGCTCTCTGGATACAAACAGAAAAAAGCACACATAAGCACCTATATATAGAGATATTCATTGATTTTATATAAAACATAAACCTTTACAACTAACATAAAAGATTCGGTGCACAAACTCAGATCATCGACTCATCTTCAAGCATCTTCAAAACATCTCAAACTTAAGTAGTACACAGAAACCAACCTCCTTTTCATTGGAATACACAACAATCAAACTACATTACCACTTATTCACCCAAAAGCCAAGTAACAGTGTAAGAATCAATGTGCAGTTGGCGGAAAACTGAATCAATCAGAACAGTGTAAGAATCAATGTGCAGTCAGCGGAAAACTGAATCAATCAGATAATGTATAACTTACTTGCTCATTGTGCGAAAACTTGCACGAATCTCCACGAGTGCATTCGCCTTTCTGGAAAGCCCGGCAAACACCCCGCTCCTCCCTCTTCCGCTGCGCCTCCTCTTCATCTTCCTCCTCCTTCTTCTTGTACTTAGTCACATGATCAACCCTAATTGTCCGCCCTAAAATTTGAGCTCCGTTCAAATTATCCACAGAAAGAATAGTGCTCCTCTGGTCCTCGTACGCCACAAACGCAAACGCCTTGGATTTCCCAGTCGCCTTATCGCGAACAAGATTCACATCCACGATCTCACCGTATCTGAAACCGAATCGAACGTCAAAAAATTGAAAACAAATTTAGAAAATTTGGAACTAACTGAAGGGGATTTAGTGATTACTGTGCGAAAACGGCGAGGAGATCGCCTTCGGTGAGATCGAAGGGAACGCCGCCGACGTAGACGTAGGCGGAGTCTTTGTACTTGGCGTGCCACGAAGCCTCCTCCGAAATCCCTAATTGGGCTTCTCTGGAATTGATGTTCTGAATGCGTTTCACTAGGGTTAGCGGATTCATCGTTCTGATTCCGCCAAGATTTTCTGCTTCTTTCTCTCAGGGTCCCGACCTTAAACCCTAATTTTTGCGGAACACTGTTCTACTTCAACGTAGTTTTGGATTGCTGATGACGGGGGGAAATCTGAACGAGGTCTTATTGGGCTTGGACTCTCGGCCCATTATGAGTGCTGATTCATATTGAGCTTGAACTAGCCCAACAAGGCCTTTTACAGTTAGCCGATTTTTCAATCAACTTGAAGGGAGTCATTCCATTGTAAATTTGAGAAATTTTAATAAAATTTATAAATTCATGGATTTTATGGAGTTTAGTTGATTTGTAGAGATTTCATGTAAAATTTTGATTGAATTCTCTCGAAATCTCATAGAAAGAGGTAAGATTTGTAGATGCTTAAATACACCACGAAATCTTTCTAATTCCCTCAAATTGAATACTTGAAATTCTAAAGATTTTAATAAAATATCTCAAAATCCTGATTGAATACACTAAATTTCAAACAATCGCTTAAAATCCTGATTGAATACCCTTAAATTCGTTATAAGTGAAAATCCCTCAAAATTCCAATTGAATACGCCCTGAAAATATAGGGAGATTCAAGGCCATGAAACACACAAGTTTTTATCGTACTTCAAACCCTGCATCATCCCCATTGAAGAAGCATATAAATACATCACAACAAGAGCACTTAAATGGTGAAACATATAAAGTCAGCTTGTTAGCTTGCAAAGGGGACTATGTTGTTCACGTTAAAGAAGTAGGGTTCTTTTTTCTCTTTTGCATCTACTGCCGTTGTTTCTTCGAGACCTCTCATCAGAATTTATATCGTCAACTAGGTTCCTTTTTCTCCGTCATCACTAAACCACAACGACGCATTCATACTTGATACTGCATCAAAAGTTTTCCTCATTAATGGGTGCAACTCTAGCATACAAGAAGGAGCTAAGGCTTTGGAGGTTGTTCTTGTTCAACACATCAAAGAGAACAAGCATCGGGAAACAATGCGCGGTGGCAACTGTAGGCTGGCCTCGTTTTTCTTTAAGAAAGCCAGACAATTGTTGATTGCTAAAGTGCAGCAGAGGATGGAAAGTTCGTTGGTGATCCGGAAGTGGGTGAATTATGGATCTTGTTTGGTGGTTATGCTCCCGTTCTCCAGGATCCACCACCACCACCTTCTGTCCGGAAACAACCAGCGACGCCCCTTGTGATTGTCTCCAAACGATCGCATATTTTCCAGCCCATCAGCTTCAACCAACATGAAACTTTTTCCAAAATCTTCTCCTTATTGTAGTCCTGCAGGTAACGAAAGATCACAATTTTCAGTTAAGTTGTACGAAACCACGATATCTCTTGAGGCTTTCTTTTCTTGGTTTTCAACTCCTACGGCCTTATTGTTTAGTCGTTAATTTCTTTTGGCTGGCGAGTCAGTTGTACCTGCAGGTTCTCCAGTAAAATTACCGGATAATGTGGGTGGCAAAAGGCTAATGGAAGTAAACCTAGTGAGGGTGGCCTAAACCTGTTGACATATATCCATACGAAAGGCTGGTACCCCTTTCGCACTCATCTAAGATAACCTGATTTGTTCTATTGGGATTCTATGTTTAATGCAAAATGCTATACCTGGAAACCGAACACGTCAGTGTCCGAACACAAACAGATTGAAATAATTAACCAAATCAATAGAGGTCCGAAATCAAGGGGAGGAACACTTCCGAAATTTCAATAGGATTTTCATGTTCTGCCGGATTAGTTTAAATTTTGAGATATGTGTGTTCGATAGACGAAAATCTCAAAATTGAATTCATCAAATGATAATAAGTACGGTTGAGCAGTACTACAGCTCGAGGGTAGAGAGCAAAAATGCGAATTTTTTATATTCCAAATATATGATATTATGAATGTGGTACTCAAGTATTTATAGACCTTTGGCCTTTGGGTCCTTTTCATTATTTTGGTAGATTTGAAGTTTTGACAATATGTGCCAACTATATCAACCACCTTCAGCGTGTGAAACATTTTGGATTCATTTTACGGTCAATGCTAAGGACAGTCGTTAGATGTGTGTAATTGATTAGTTAATACTTAATTTAATTTTTTTTCTCTAACTTTTTATTTGGTTTATACTGTCTGTATGCGACACATCTCACACAATTAGCGAGATTCTTGCATGTAAAATTCAAATTGTGCCCACCTAAGGACGGAGCTAGTGTAAGCCTAGATTTACAAAATAAAAATAAAAATGTATAGTTGGCATTCCAATCTAATTAAACTACAATTAAAAATAAAATGTAGACAACTAACCTAAATTTACCATTTTTCATCCCCAATGACCTTGACAATTCAATTAAAAGTTAATATAATTGCGCATCTCTGCTGTGAGGCTATGTCCACCTCCTCCTAAGTGTAGATAATATCATTTGCTACAAAAAAAAAATAATAATAAAATTGCCCCTCCTCGTTTTCCTAACCCTGGGTTACTAATCCTCACAAAACTCATCTCACCACGACAAAACAATTCTTGTCCTCATCTTCTCCAAGTTTTTCCTCCTCCTTCATTCTACCAAAACTCAATTGAATTTGGAATATATAGACAGTTGGAGTTCAATTAATATCAAAATTCAACACAAAAACTTTACTTCACAAGGTGTTTTGATTTTACTTCATTAATTCGTTTTTAGCATTACAATTTAGAATTTAACTTTCTAATTTAGAGATCAATGAATTAATAATAACTTGGTTATTTTTACAGGGAGAGATATTGTAATAATGTTGTCATACAACGCTTTTAAAACATGAAAACATGTCGAGAAATATTGTAATATGTTGTATGAAAAACTTTATAGATTAATATATAGTGCTTTGTTCAATAAATTCTTGAACTTTTTAATTATGACTTTGTTATTTGAGGATGCCTTTATTCAGACAAATCTCTAATTTTGTCCCTTACTGTGTGAAAGGTATCGCATTCGTATGCAAAACAAAATGTTGGACCAACTCACATGCATCAACGGTGCAGCCGTCCTTAATTTCTTCTACATTTGTTCCAATAAGAATGAATGGCACGTCACGGGTATATAATGTTTATGTTACAAGTGGCCTTATACTTAATTAATTTACATAGTTTGTGATGGCGAGTATTTCAATACAACCACAATATTTAATCAATAAAGAACAAACCTTAGCTCATCTTACTACCAACAGATATTTTAAAGAGTTCGACATCCAAACGAGAGACATAAAATAAGCGAAGAAATATAGAGAAATATTATATTTATTTTCTTTGTATTAAGGTAGGTCAGTATTATCTGCACACTTAATTTTATCTTTATTCTTATTAATTTTTATTATTTAATTTGTTTCGATTTATTGGATGGACGGTCAAAAATTGATAAAAGATGTCTTCGGAAGTTTAAAATTCTGCTTCTCGAAAAGCCACTTGGCCCTAACTCAGTTCTTCCTTTATGCTTTTTGGCCTTACGTGTTTCCAACTTCATCTCAGAAAAAAAATGTCCCATTTCACAACTCCCCCAGAGTAGTGTCTTCCCCAGACTAGTCTCAGACAAAGTCTTTCTCGATGATCGCTATCTTATCTTTTTCTGAGGTGTTGGATTCAGAAGAAAACGACTCGAAAGGTGGTTTATCCTTCAGAGCATATACCTTTTCCCACCATTTTTCGCTACAAATACATACAATTTACACTTCAAAGCCACAGCCTTTCGCTTTATCTCTCTGGGTTTTACCGGGTTCTCCAAGTTCCAGCCTCCGGCGATGGCTTTCCGGCGAAAACGCATCATCTGGACTCTCTTTTTCTTCCACCTCTTGTTGGTCTCCACCCAATTCATTGCGGCACGCAAAACGCCCAAAATCAAAGGACCCATTAAAACGGTGGTCGTCGTGGTCATGGAAAACCGCTCCTTTGACCACATCTTCGGCTGGCTTAAGTCGACCCGACCTGACATCGACGGCCTGAACGGGAACGAATCGAACCCAATTTTCGTCTCGGAACCCGGCTCGCCCCGAGTCCGAGTCTCCAGCGACGCCTTCTTCGTCGACTCCGACCCAGGCCACTCGTTTCAGGCGATTCGAGAACAGATATTCGGGTCGAACGAGAGCTCTGAGAACCCGGCTCCGATGAACGGGTTCGCTCAGCAGGCGGAGAGTATGGGCGAGGGGATGGCGAGAACGGTGATGAGCGGGTTTAAGCCGGAAGTCCTCCCGGTCTACACCGAATTGGCTAACGAGTTCGCCGTGTTCGACCGGTGGTTTGCTTCCGTACCGGCGTCAACTCAGCCGAACCGGTTCTACATCCACTCGGCCACGTCACACGGCGCCATGAGCAACGTCCGCAAGGACCTCATCCACGGCTTCCCTCAGAAAACGATCTTCGACTCTCTGGACGAAAATGACCTTGACTTCGGCATTTATTACCAGAACATCCCCGCCACTCTCTTCTTCAAGAGCCTGAGGAAACTGAAGCATGTGACGAAATTCAACAGCTACGCGCTGACTTTCAAGCGGCACGCTCAGCTGGGGAAGCTGCCGAATTACGCGGTGATCGAGCAGAGGTACTTCGACGTCAAGGAGCTTCCCGCCAACGACGACCACCCGTCTCATGACGTGGCGCGCGGGCAGAGGTTCGTGAAGGAGGTGTACGAGACGCTGAGGGCGAGCCCACAGTGGAAAGAAATGGCATTGCTGATTACCTACGACGAGCACGGCGGGTTTTATGACCACGTGCCGACGCCGGTTTTGGACGTGCCGAGCCCGGATGGGATCGTGGGGAACGAACCGTATTATTTCCGGTTTGACCGGTTGGGTGTGCGGGTGCCGACCATACTCGTCTCGCCATGGGTCGAAAAGGGTACCGGTGAGTTCTCTGCTTCTCGGTTTTTTCAGTTGTTTTTTTTATTATTTTGATTGAGTAGCATTACAGTTAAATTGCTGATTAATGAATAGTGTTATAGTTAAATAACTGTAATTTATTCGACATTGGTTGATTATGATATTTTAGATCAATTGAATAATTAAGGTCGAGTGTCCGTTAGAACGGTGAATTGGTTCTTGTCTATCTCACAGTTTAACGTGAATGCAC